AAGACGACTCTCTACAAGTCAACTCGATTAGTTGACTGGCTGACATCTCACGAGAGACAGATCTGAAGGCGGTACCTCTCGACACCCCTACATACAAGACAAAAGGCGACTGCGACCCTCGAGCCCCCCGCTGACAGTGCGTCGATATCATATTAAATGTTTGACAGGCATCATCATTTCTCCATCCCCAGCACTATTTATCACACATCTGACCACGCTAGCTTCGCAGGCCGCCTATCTCATCTCATTAATACCAAAGTGACCGCGCCCATTCTGCGACCACTCTACAGCCGACACCTGTAAAGTTGACACTAACTCAGCCGTTAACCCAGACTTTGCCGAAGAAACCAAAATGCCCTTCCATCATTACCATAAAAGGAAAAATTCTTCCCAACACGAGGGTAAGCAATCTCTCTGCATTTTTCTCCATTCCATTGTACTTAAGAACTGCTATAATTTGACATTTTTCCCTACTCAAGTACCTTGCTAACTTGATCGTCGGAGGAACAATTGGAGAATCAGACCCCGCCCTCTTACGAGTTGCTACATGTAAAGGGAAGAATAGCTCAACTCCAAACTAGATATTCAGAGAAGTTAGCGGCCCCTAATCAACCCAGTTCCTATCAATTTATCTGTGATTACATAACATCAACAATTCTTAATATAAAATCTCTACAACATGATTTTTAATATGATCAAGAAAATAGCCCTAGAATCACTGTCCAAATGTACAATGAAACGTCACAAATTAGAACTTAGAAAATGAATGATTCAGCCAAAACTCTTTGACCAGACGACTGAAGATGTGCTTGTATGGACCAGATGTCTCTGAAGGTTTCTTTTGAAAATTAGCTTTTTGTTTAATAGATTTTAGATGTTATTGTAGGCTTCTAGATGTCTGATGATTGAATTAACTTGTAAACATTAGTTTCATCTTGTAGAGAACATCAAGAGCTTCCCAAAACTATATTTCAATAGTGATTCTGATGACCGGTTAAAAGTTATGACTCATACAAGTTTTCAACCTCTTGTGCATGTTTTCAGCCATTTGATGCAGACTAGACGTCTAGTTTACTGCTGACTATTTTGACACTGTATTGCTAAAATACTTATATCTTGAGCTAAACACTCTGTATTGAGTTTTGATTATTTCCTTAGATTCATAACAAAGAGACATACACTCTCATATGCTCAAAGTTGAATTTAAAGCTTTTGATTTTTCTTTTTTGAGGATTAAATGTGAACTTTGTATAACTACATACTTCATCTTAAAGCAACATCACATACAAATGAACGTTTGTTATTTATCAAAGCGAGTTGATTGCATGATCAACATAATTATTAATTTGAAATTTCAAAGTACATCACATGAAATAACTGTTAGACTCTAATGCCACTAGGAAAGAACCCTAGAGGGGGAGGGGGAGGGGTGAATAGGGTTTATGCTAATCTACTCCGATTTAAATACCAATTAAAACTTATTCAAGAATTATTCTTGCAAGATAGATATACAATATGATATGAGTAAGAATATGCAATGTGAACAAAGGGATATATCCTAGCAATGAGATATATGGTGAAAATATGCAAGGATATATAAATAACACAAGGGTAAACAATCTATAAACAAGATAAATAAGATAGTGGGCAATATAAATAATGAGCAATTGACAAAGGCGATATAATGATAAACACAAAAATAAGTGCGCCAATGCAAACTCAAACAAACGATATGATCATGGAGTTCGGTCCCCACGACCTACGTCTCCGCTCCTCACCTCGAGGAGATCTCCACTATCACACCAGGTTTTCTACGCTTACCTGAAAAACGTTTACACCTCACAATACGGTTTTCTAGCTAACCGAAAACTTTACAATCCACACTCACAATGTAACTACACTAACTACCACCTCAAGTACCGAAAACTTTACAATCCACACTCACAATGTAACTACACTAACTACCACCTCAAGTGTTGGTCTCTAGCTTGTATCTCCCTCAAGTGTTAGAAATTATAACCTCTCTCTAAACATTACCACCTACCCCACTCCTCATGGGATGACCCCGTCTCTCATCACACACTCCTCTTGGTGTACTAGTGTATTACAAGGTGAACCTCACAATTTAAGCACAAATACAAAGTATTTGTTCTCTACAATAGATGAGAACGAATTGTAAGCTCACTCTCTAAGTCACACAAACCCACAACCTAATTACACAATGTATGCAAATACAATAAGCTCAATGGTTGTGTATGTATAAAGAGATAAAATAAATCAAAACTAAACTCAATATAATTCTAGCTTAATGACAATGATAATCAAATATATAAAAGAGCTAGAAATAGAGTTTAGAAAACTTCTCAATGGATCAAGAGATAGAGGGAGAATAGTTGGATGCTCAAACTCCAATAGATGATCTCCTCAAGCCCTTGTGAAATTGTTTTCACAAAACAAACTCTCAAACGCTTAAAAGCTTTTTAAACAAACACTAAACAAAACTTCAAACCCTTATTAAACCTTCTTAAAACATTCTCTTAGTTATTTTGAAAGATGAGAGCAAGGGGGTATTTATAGAAACCCAAAACATCAGTAGAAACCCAAGCAAAATGACCAAAAAACCAAATCCCACAAAATCTAGAAAGTGCAGAAATATAGCCGTTATTGATCGGCGGTCGACCGCAGAGCCACTGGCGGTCGACTGTGAGCCAAAACTAGTCGTTGGGAAACAGATGGATGGCAAACTAAAAAATTCACGGTCGACCACAGAGGCAAGTCCGGTCGACCGCGAACAACTAAAAAACAAAGCTGACTCTGTGGATTTTCTACGGTCGACCGCAGCGCCAAGGGCGGTCGACCACGATCTGATAAAAAATAAAAGCAGTCTCTGGAAAATTGGCGGTCGACCACACCGTCAAGGGAGATCGACCACGAGCTGTTGAAAAACAGAGCTGAGTCTCTGGACCATCGGCGGTCGACCGCGACAATTGGCGGTCGACTGCAGCGCCATGGTCGGTCGACCGCGAACTGATATTTTAGATATTCCAAGTTTGAAAATAGTTTTCTGATTTTAATACCTTATTTAAAAATATCAAAAAAATTTAAAAAAATATAAAACTTTGGGAAATGATTATAGATATGATAATACACATGCTACAAAAACTAGTTTTCAAAAAGGACCTTTCAAATGAGAAATATCATCATTTTACAAAATAGTCCAAAACACGAAAATGTAAACGTATGAATTTTGACATTTTGGCTAAACCATGTTCTGAAACATTACAAAATAATTTTGTAGACTTAATAAAAGATGTATATGATTATTGTTAAGTCCATAAACCAAGAAAACAATATTTTCTCAAAATTGTATATTCTACGCAATAAATTCTAAAATACAATAGAATATGAAACAAATAAAAATGTGAATAATTTTTTTTGTTGTTTCATATCTATGTAGTTAAACCAAAACATAATAGTAAATATGAAATATGTAATTTCATATTTATAAACATAAAAACCCAAAAAATATGTATGTATATATATAACTATATATATACATAGAAACCAATAAAATGTGTATGTATATATGATTGAGCTTAAAGTATCAACACACATAACATAACACCTAAACTAAATGTTACCCAAGCTTGATTGATCTTCGATGTGGCTCAACTTGGTACACTTGTGGATGAAGCTAGAACTTGGAACTTCAATTTGAATTGTATAGACTTCACTCCACAATTCCGCCAACCTCCATTGGATATAATCGTTGAAGCGTAATTTCATCCATCCTCCAACATATTGTTTGTCTACAATAAATAGATAAACACAAATACTAGACAAACAATATTAGTCATAAATTATTTGTTAAACATCATCAAAACAAGAATGCCAACAATAACTATATTCAGCATAGGAAGCCATGTGTCAACATCAAATTTATTTTGATTTGGCTATGGAATTAGGCGGTTCGCATTGAAAAGAGAGTAATCCCATGTGTTGGAATTAAAGTAAGATAGCTAGACGTGTCATCTCTATGGGTATTTGTAGTTATTGGGTTTTCCTTATAAGTTATACCTATTAGTAAAAACATGGATTTCTTTTTTTATAGTGGTTCACATTTCATTGAGAGGCTGTTTGGTTCACCTAAAATAATAGAAAAATGTTTGAACTCTTAGGATTTAAAACAAAAAGTAGGGTTTTGAGCATTATAGAATACATGTATCTATATTTGTTTCAAAATGAAACTATAGAATTGGATTCTAAAGTAGAGAAAATGAACAAATTCTAGAAGAAGCCAAATCCTTTTTTTAGAGAGGATTTGAGTTAGAAAGCTTACACATTTATATCATCTCAAACACTACCCCCCCCCACCCCCCAACCCCCCCCCCCCCCCCCTCTCTAGCTTTTTGCTTTCAATATTATTGGGCCGTATGAACCATAGATGATAGTACATATTCTTCTTTCGTATTACCATGTTGAACCAAACACGAACTTAGCAAATCCGATATATATATGCATGCACAACATTAGATTTGATTTCTTTGGGGGTTTCATTTCCTATATTTTAAGGAAATGAACCAAAGAGCCCCTGATTGTCCTCATTGAACATGTGCTCTAGCAGAGAAAGATTTCCATTATGATCTACTGTTGCACGGTAAATTTCTCACAAATTATTCTCTCTAATTAAGTGGAATGAATAAGGGATTATGAGTCTCTAATTAATGATCCTTTATTAACTTGAATCCTCCTTCTTTTCCCCAGGTTGAACACTCAACAACTCGTTAGGCGACGCGACAGCGATCCCCAGTTTGGGGCTCTAGTACGCTTTTGGATGCCTAAGTTAGTATCTCTCTAGCTAGACAGTAAAAAAAATAGTAAGTGCGGCCAAAATACTAGAGAGTGTTTGGACGCTTCTCCCTATTTATTTAGGGGAGAAAAGGAGATTATAGCCATTCTCTTCTTATCGTTCACGTGGGAAAAAGTGTGGTGATGTGGCATATAGAATATTTTTTTTCAGGGTATGACATGATCCCATTAATAGAACGGATAAACGACAGAACTATACACCTTTATTCAAAGAGATAGACAAACACGAGTCCCTGATGACCGGCTCGATCGGTCGAGCTATAGCTAGGTTGAAGTGAACTATGAGAAGTTCTAGTTTGCAACATGTGAAAGAACACCCATCATGCTCCGTCGCGGTTTGTACATGACTTGCAGAGGATGGGCTTTACGAAGTGTAAGCCCTCCCATTTCCTCCATGTCGATCGCCTCCTCCCTCATTCTCTCCCATTCGAAGCACTGAATCATCGTCCCCAGCGCCAGTCCGATCAATCTCACTGCCAGCACATCACCCGGGCACCGCCTCCTCCCCATCCCAAACGGCATAACTTTACCACCACCGTCTCCTCCTCCGCCGACGAACCTCTCAGGCCTGAACTCCAAGGGCTCGGCCCATATTGCAGGGTCTCTGTGAATGGCCCACGCGTTCACCAATAACATCGTGCCGCGTGGAACGTGGTAGCCTGCAACGACGCAGTCTTCGAGTGACTCGTGAGGTACGAGGAGTGGGGTTACGGGATAAAGTCGGAGGGTTTCGTTGATGATTGCTTGGAGGTAAGGCAGATTGGGGAGGTCCTGCTCTTGCAATAAGCGGCTTTGTCCGATGCTTGTATCTATCTCGGCTCTAGCCTTACATAGGACTTGTGGGTTGTTGAGGAGAAGTGACATTGCCCATTCTATTGTTCCTGATGAAGTGTCTGTTCCTGCAAAGAACAAGGTCTTCAAGTAGATAGTTGAATTAGCGGGTTATTCAAATACTAGGAACGGCGTCTGTATAATTAATCGACTATTGTTTTCAGCAAAAACTTCAAAAAAAATAAAAAAAAATTGTTGCGTTAATTAATCCATAATCTAAATAACCCCGATGGCTCTCAGAATCGAGTCAAACTCACCGCTATCATGGCTTTAATGATCTCATCAGTATAATACTCAGGATCCTCCTCTTGCAAATCCAACAAAACTTCAAGCATACTCTTCTGAGTCTTTCCCTTTTTCTCCCTCCTCCTCCTCCTCTTCTCATCAACCAATCCCTGCAATATCTTGTCCTTCTTCACTTCCGCCCTCCTCAACCTCTTCCTCACCGCTCCCCAATCCACCATCCTCACCACCGCCGGCAAGAAATCAGAAACATTCGACACTCCGATCATTCCCAACACCTCCTCCATCATCTCCCTAAACCTGGCCGCCTCCTCGTTTCGGCCCCCATCCTCTCTCCCCACTATCATCCTCATCATCAACCCGAAACCCACTCGCTGAAACCTCGGTTTGAGCTCCACCTTCCTCATCTCCATCCCATCACACTCAATAAATAATTCATGTATGAAAGACTTAATCTCGTTGTATCGGATGTCGGATAGAGAGTGCAGGCGCGCGGAGGATAGGAGGTGGAGGGTGACGATGCGGCGGACGTTGCGCCAGTGTGGGCCGTATGGGGAGGAGGAGAGCGTGGTGTAGTTGTAGGACAGGATCTTGGAGGAGGGGAGTTGGGGGCGGGAGGCGAAGGCGAGGTCGTTCTTGGTGAAGCATTCGAGCGGTGGAGGGGTTTCTTGAGGAGGTGGAGGTGGCCGAGGATGGGAAGGGAGGGAGGGCTTGGAGGGAGAGGAAGCTGTTTACTGGATTCGTTGGATTGGTAGTAATTTGAGAGGAGTTTGAAGATGAGAAGAGAGAGGGCCAGGGAGTAGAAGATGAAGGAGTAGTCCATGGTGAGGAGTGAGAATAAAAGCTGAAAGAAGATTATAACATGTGATCTTATGTGAGGTGATTAAGGATATGGGTGTAAGGATGTTTATATAGGAAGATGATGACAAAGAGAGATGAGATTTTTCTTTTGGCCACGGGAATATTAATTTGGTTAGAGTACCCTACGCTCAAGAGAGAGCCCATCCTTTTACTGTCGGAAGGACTCTACTTTATTCCAAAAAAGTCACTAATGGTCTGATTGGGAATTCACTAATGGATGGGATGCAAGGTTAAACTTTTATTCCTTTTTTTTTTCTCCTTTACCCTCCAATTTGGGGGTAAAATTTTAGTGTAAAATTTTCCTAAACTTACCCTTCTCTACTCTTCTAATAAAACTCTCAAACAATGTTAAATTCAAAATTCCCTTCCCCTTCCCTCCTATACCCTCCATCCAAACACACCATAAAAGTATTGGAACTTGCAACTATTGTGTACAAAGTAAACCCGCACAATCATCCTCACATACCCCAATAAGTCTATGATATTTGAGTTAAAGCGACTAAATTATGGTCTGAAATTTAGATGGTTTTCCAATATTACTACCCCAAATCTGTCATACTTTGAAATTAAGCTCTCAACTTCAAACTTAGGAAGTAGTCTTCCAAATCTTTAACTGTCTTGAAATTAGTCTTTCAATTCATATTTTAATTAGTACCATAAGTATGATATGAATTTTGAAATTAATCCCACAGATATGATATGTATTTTATCTCCTCCTCGAAATGATAGCATGAGCGATTCAACACCTGACGCTTCACTGTTCTCTCTCTCTCTCTATGTTTTCAGCGAAAGTCGTTTCCATTGTCGATTTCATTAAACTTCGATCGTTTACAGAAAATTACAATGAAAATAAGCAAAAATTACAACTCTCGAGAAAATAACACAGAAATTGTTTATCAACTCCTGCTTTTGTGGGACTTTGCCTGTGCCATGAGTGCTTTGGCTCGTGGACCACCGATTCACAGATCGTGAGGGTGTTTAAGGATCCTTTCTTCGTTTATCGAAGTAGGGACTTGAAAGCGAGTATCTTATCGATGTAAGATATTCACTCTTCCAAAGATCAAGTCTGAGCTTAGATCTCTAGGAATCACCAAATGATGCTTGTCAAAGGATGAAAATTCTCTCTCTCTTCCTCAAAATCACCAAAAGCTCAAGCCTTTTCTGCTCCAATATGTTCTCTGTCCTTTATTTCGTGTCTAAGGAGGTATTTATAGGGGTAGCAGTGCCTAACAGTGGAAATGGGGGCGAGATAACTGACCAAATAACTGTTCTTTGGCCGCGTCAGTCCATGCTGCCGTGGCTATTGGCGCGGCAGTATGGGCTGCCGCGGCTAAAGGCCAGTTACACCCACGTCTCCGTTGTGTCTTGAAATGTGTTGATTCTCCCACCGGCGTGATTAACCCCTTTTTCGTGGGTTTAAAACACTAGCATGTCCACGGCTCGCACCGCTCCTATTTCTGATATGCACGTGGCGGCTTTAAATACATAGCTATACTGCCGTTATACACACCGCAAGCAGGCCCCCACATAATAGCCGCCGCCGTAGCCGCGGCACCATAAGCTGCCGCGCCTTAGCCACGGCACCATGGGCTGTCGCGCCTTAGCCGCGGCATCATGTACTGCTGTGCCTCAGCCGCGCCGCCATGTACTGTCTGTTGGTGTGTACATTGTTCTTCCATGTTGTCTCACCTCCTTTGAATGATCTCATCTGATTAAGAGAATGGCGTTTATCGTCTCCTCTTTGCCTTGAGTGGTATTTGGATGTCTGTAAGTATTTTTTGACGCCTACAGATACCCCCTCCAAAGTATCTCAGACTCATCATTTTGGAGAGGAGTCTGGGACACTTTGGATATGATGAGTTTTCCTTGAAATTTCTTCAGTACTTTGTTGAGAAAATTGCGTAAGATGATCTATAAATGGCTTCAATTTTTGACTTCTTCATCTTTTAGCCTATTCAGTGCTTTGTAGAATAGCTAAAATTCCTCCGGTGATGCGTTTATCGCGTGCCCGTTGTCGAAGTCTTGAATTAGAACTACCGTTTAAGAATGAAGAAATAGTTTATACTCATATACTATATTGGAGTGTTTGGGAAATAGTTTAACCTCATATACCCGTTGGGAGGTTCAAGGAGATGCAGTTTATACTTATATACTCATCGGAGTGTTTGGGAAATAGTTTAACCTCATATACCCATTGGAAGGTTGCCAGGTTATTCTTAAGAATGTTCTAAGTGATATTCTCCAGAAATTTCATGTTGGGGGTAGGGGAACAGTTTAAACTCGTGTACCTATTGGAGTATTCTGGTCTCTTTTTTGTTGGTAGAGATGAACCCGACACTGGACAGGAAGAATTTTATATTCTATCTCCTGGTCTCTTGTTTGTTGGTAGAGATGAACCCATAATCGGAGAGGAAGAATTTTATATTCTATCTCCTTGTCTCTTTTTTTTGTTGGTAGAGATAAACCCAGAATCGGAGAGGGAGAATTTTATATTCTATCTCCTGGTGTAAAAAAAACTCAAAGTGGGATCTCCACTTAGAGAATCTGGACTGGTTTGAATAATCTTGACTGTCATAAGGTTTGATTATTCAATTCAAAAGTAGACGTCTCGTTCGTGAAATGAATCGAAAGGGGATTTTGGTTGTGGTCCTAACTGTAGTAAGGTTTGACCAAGTGGGAGTTTTGAGACGATCCTAACTGTAGGAAGGTTTGATCGTTCGATTTGTGGACCTCTCGTTCATTGAAGGAATCGAGAGGGGATTTTGGTTGTGGTCATAACTGTAGTAAGGTTTGACCAGATGGAAGTTTTGAGACGATCCTAACTGTTTAAAGGTTTGATTGTTCAATTTGTGGACCTCTCGTTCATGAAAGGAATCGAGAGGGGATTTTGGTTTTGGTCCTAATTGTAGTAAGGTTTGACCAAATGGGGGTTTGAGACGATCCTAACTGTTTAAATGTTTGATCGTTCGATTTGTGGACCTCTCGTTCATGAAAGGAATCGAGAGGGGATTTTGGCTTTGGTCCTAACTGTTTAAATGTTTGACCAAATGAGAATTTGAGACGATCTTAACTGTTTAAAGGTTTGATCGTTCAATTTGTGGACCTCTCGTTCATAAAAGGAATCAAGAGGGGATTTTGTCTTTGGTCCTAACTGTTTAAAGGTTTGACCAAATGGGGACTTGAGATGACCCTAACTGTTTAAAGGTTTGATCATTCAATTTGTAGACATCTCGTTCCTGAAAGGAATCGAGAGGAGATTTTGGCTTTGGTCCTAACTGTAGTAAGGTTTGACCAAATGGGGGTTTGAGACGATCCTAACTGTTTAAAGGTTTGATCGTTCGATTTGTGGACCTCTCGTTCATGAAAGGAATCGAGAGGGGATTTTGGCTTTGGTCCTAACTGTTTAAAGGTTTGACCAAATGAGAATTTGAGACGATCCTAACTGTTTAAAGGTTTGATCGTTCAATTTGTGGACCTCTCGTTCATAAAAAGAATTGAGAAGGGATTTTGGCTTTGGTCCTAACTATTTAATGGTTTGACCAAATGGGGGTTTGAGACGATCCTAACTGTTTAAAGGTTTGATCGTTCGATTTGTGGACCTCTCGTTCATGAAAGGAATCGAGAGGGGACTTTGGCTTTGGTCCTAACTGTTTAAAGGTTTGACCAAATGAGAATTTGAGACAACCCTAACTGTTTAAAGGTTTGATCGTTCAATTTGTAGACCTCTTATTCCTGAAAGGAATCGAGAGGGGATTTTGGATTTGGTCCTAACTGTAGTAAGGTTTGACCAAATGGGGGTTTGAGATGATCCTAACTGTTTAAAGGTTTGATCGTTCGATTTGTGGACCTCTCGTTCATGAAAGAAATCGAGAGGGGATTTTGGCTTTGGTACTAACTGTTTAAAGGTTTGACCAAATGAGAATTTTGTGAGGAAAGATTGATCCAACGAAGTGATCGAATCTCATCTCAGCAAAAGAGTATTCGGAAATCACCGTGGGGATGTAGTGTTTATCACTTTGTTTGTAATGATCGGGTTATCCCTAAGAAAATTACATATAGCATTTTTCCGAGAACTTCCCGTTACATGAACCATCCACCCCCAGCTTTCCTTACAAAACTGGGTTTATCATTATATTCAGCTGCATGATCGGGTTATCCTTAAGAGTACCATGCATGATGCTCTCCAGGAATTTCCCGTGAAAGAAAAGAAATAGTTTTGACTCATATACCTGTTGGAGTATCGAGGAGCCGTTTATACTCGTATACTCTTTGGAGTGGCGTGAAGAAGCAGTTTATACTCGTATACTCATCGGAGTCAAGGAAAACAGTTTATACTCGTGTATCCAATGGAGTTAGAGTCGTCTTTACTTGGCTTGTTTCGCCGTTATGACGTCGGAGTCAATTAAGGCTTGTTTACTTGGCTTGTTTCGCCGTTATGACGTCGGAGTCAATTAAGGCTTGGATTTTGTTTTTGAGTCTGAAGCAAATCTTAGTGGGATGAAGAACCCTTCTGTGGTACGCACCGTAGTTTGGATCCGTAATCCTCTTAGCTCACTCCTGATCTTTAATAGGTGGTAGCTCGATTTTGTCATTGGCGAGGAGGTATTTCAATATGGCTGGAGCTTCCTTATTTTCGAAAGAATACTCCTTTTGAAACTTCGGATCGAGAGTCGCGTTCCTAGCGATTGTAGATGTCGTCGGTCGTTTTGGATGGTACGACCCCCAGGGCTTCCAGGACATCGATGGAGAGATTATTATGACATGTTTGCAGGATGAACTCCTCTGTAACAGGATCTCTGCAATTCATTGCCTTGTTACGGAAGCGCTTGACAAAATTGTCGACTTACTCTCCGTCGTTTTGCTTCTCATCTAAAAGGGTTCCGATTGACACTTCGGTGTCATCATCGAAGAAATTACTGAGGAACAAACTTTCCATGTCATCCCAACAATTGATGCTTCCTGGCTTGAGACGTCGGTACCAATCGAAGGCGGACCCACGAAGAGTGCCAACGAATGACCGGACCATTAAAGCCTCATTTCCAGAGATCATGCCCAAATGAGAC